ATATATCATATTAATTCTATTCAACTACTCTTACATGGGATTGAACTGGTATCTTGTGATTTGACCTGTAAAGTGTTAGCCACTACACTATAGACCCACAGGTTTTAGAAAACTACTAACTATTTCTATAAGTTTATCTATTAAAATTATATCTTTTTACTCCCACAGCTAATGTGATAAAGAAGCCTTTACATTATACATGTTACTGAAATTCATAAATCCTTAACACAATTGATACAATTATTTGACACAATTAATTGAGTCACTATTAAAATATATAAATAATTGAGTCATGACACAATTATTTTTGAGGATTTTGAAAATTAAGTCAACAGCAAATAATTTATATCACATATATACTTTATATGATATATATATATATACTGTATATATATGATAAGTTGTCAGAAAACCATATTGCACAAAACATTAGTATTGGTTCAATGTTTACTTCAAGATTCTCTTATTTGGTAGCTAATAGGAGATGAGAGACAATTAATCAGAATTAATTAGGATGGAGTATGTCCAGTCTGTATATTAAAATATGTGGAAAGTTTTAATTAAGAAATTGAACAAGTGTCACAACTTCACTTAATTCAATTATTATGAATAGCTTTTGTTGATTATTGTAGCATTAATTGAATGATTGTCACATCATGATATCTTTTTTGAAGGTCACAATCTCAACGTCTGCTAGATTAATATGTAAAATGGCTTTATATAAAAAATAGTCATACTAGGTTATAGCATTAGATATCATATTAATACTATTCAACTGTCTTTACCTGAAATTGAACTAATATCTTGTGATCTGATCTGTGAAGTATTAACTATAATAAATAATATTTTTAATAATTAAGAGTAAAATAAATATAAAAAAATTTTTTTAAAAATAATAAAATATAAGTAATATTGGTTATATAATTACAAATTTATTAATTTTATTTCAAAAATCTTTTTTCTAATATAATAAGAATTGAAATAAATATTTTTTTATAAAAATTAAATTTTAAATTTTTTTGTACTATTTGTACTTTTTATTAATTAAATATATATAATTATTATACATATTTAATTAACTTTAATATAAAATATAAAACTAGAATAAAAAAAAAAAAAACTTTCTTCTGATCGTGTCAGTTTTGTTAAAAATTTTTCTTTTATAATAATTTTAAGCAAAAAAAAATGTTTTATACTCTTTATCACAAGTGAGCTCCAGCTCAGAAACTCAAGAATTTTCAAGACAACTGGTGCAGTGGGATGAAACCTCTGATCGAAGTCTATTCAAGTTTGGGAGTCTTGCTTATCCTTTGGTTACATGAGAAAAGACCCATGGTAATTTTCTTTTCTTCAGTTCTCTTGCACCCCACCTTACCCTTATTATATCATAAAAATTATATACATCATCACCATAATACTCGCTAAGTCAAACACTTTTCAAAACACATTTATAAACAAAGTTAGTAGGTCTACTGTTTGTTTTAAGTCAATCCATATATACAATATTTTTGTAGCAATATTTGCTGTGCCATTTTCATTTTTCAAAAAATTTTCACCCAAAAACCAAAATCAGTTTACCCCCTCATGATAATCAGTGCTTCTCAATTATTCAATCAAATTTTGCTTAAAAATCAAAACAAAACTTGAACAAGCTTAAACTGGTTTTGTATCACAACAATGATCACAACAACAACAACTAACATACTACCAACAACTATAACAACAAACAATGTCACGTATACTTTATTATCTATAGTAACCGACAATCTGGAGAGATGGAACAACGAGCCCATCTGGGGACTTCCAAGGGAAAATAGTAGTTTTCTATATATAGATTATAGTTTACTTAACGTAGTTCTAGTTATAGTTATTTTTATCTTTCTTTTTAATTTTTTACACTTAAAAAATCAAAAGAATTTACAAAATTTCCTGGGATGGTAGGCATAGCTGCTACTCAGCCTTATCTAACATATTAATATTGATTTTGAATTTTTTTACAATATTAGTTAGGTATTGTAAAAGTAAGCAAGCTAATATTTAACTTGTTATATGCAATGCATCCAAGAGATGTTGTTTCTTTTATGATGTATACCTTGTTATATACAATATCAAATAAAGAAATGATATTTACCTACAGGGGAAACCCCCCCCAAAAAAATAAAACATAAAACTAATTTTTGGATTTTATTATTTATAGATTATCAATTAAATATTTTAAATTATTATATTAAAATATTTATATATAACTAAGAACCTAATTTAATATTTAATTAACTCTTTCTACTAATTCTCTAATCACCATTTCAAAATGATGTTTAGTAATTATCTTGTTTTATAACTGTTTAAAAAGGTCTATAGATTCTTTTTAAAATATCATTTCAAATAAAACAGAAATTTTTATATTCATTTCTCTATTATTTTTTTTCTTCTCATCTTTTAATTAAGTACTATTCTATCTAAAAGTTTAAAGAAACCTAAAGTAAGAAAGATATTATTAGAAAAAAAAACTGTATTCTTGGTTTCCTCTTTCTTTTTTACTTATCAGAATAGACAGATTCAAGATTTAAGTTTGCTATAGGCTATGTCATAATAAGCTCTTATCCTCAAGTTGGATTTTATTAGACTCCAAGTTTCTTTCTTACCGTATATTAAAAATTTTCATTCTTCTGAAGAATTTTGCTTACTTTAGTTTGATCCTGATAATTTGATTATATCAGATTTGCTGAAAATTGATTGATTGAATTCTAAGTTGAATAGTAGCTATACATAAAAAAAAAAAATAAACAAAAAACATATATTAAAAAATATTTTCTAAGTTATATAAGAATCTTAGATTTATTATAAGATGTGATGGTCACATGCAAATGAATAATTAACACATTCCTATATTATATCTATATTTGATAATATTTTAAAAATATAAAAGAGTTTAATAATTTTTTAAATATAAATAAGATAGATAGAATATTTTTTCCTATGGGTTTTTTGATTTTGATTCATAATATATAAAAAATCATAAATTGTAAACTAGTTAGCAAGAATTTTAACACAATTTCTTTTTTCAAAAGAATGATAACTTATTAGCAATATTTATTATTCTTATCTGTAGTAAAGGTGCTTAGTTAATAATATTTGTCAAAATAGAAAACTTTTTTAAAAACTTAATTTGACTTTGAAAAAGTTACATCTTTTTAAATAAACAGTTTATATTTGAAATCAAGTATTATCTAAAGAATTAAATTAACAATCCCACCATAAGTTTTAAGATATTGAAACAATTTTTAACCAACAAGATTTCATCTGGTTTTCAAATTATAATTTCTTAGGCAGCCTTTCAAATAAGAAAATATTTTTAATAAAATAAAATCAATAAAGCTAATTACTAAAACCACTTCCTTCTTACATTAATGTTGATAAAAAAGAAATTATCTTTTCTTCTCTTTGGAAAAGAAGAAACATAATACTCTAATAGGTAATTTGTTAGGTATAGAAAAATTTTAATAACAAGTTTACAAGTTTAAAGCTAGAAGGTATAGAAAAGAATTTTTTGAAGAGATATTGCTTAATAGATCAATCAAGAAATATTGTTACTTATACTAATAATAAACCTCATGATAGAATATAATTCTTAATATATATTTAAATGTTTTTTTTTTAAGTTAGTTGAATTCTAAATGCATTGAGTGTCAACAAGGAAACTAATACATAAACAAGTATTTGAATAAAGGTATAAACTATTCATTAAAAAAAAAAAAAAAAACTTAATATTTTTAAATAAAATTATAATTATTATCTTATAATAAAATTTATTTTTTAAAATATTTATAAAAACAACAATGCATTAATTATTTACAATATTTTTTTGATGCAGAACTAAAAAATGATCGTATTTTAATTTTTTAAATTATTAATAATGTTTTTTGATTTAACTTTATATTTTGATTTAATAAGATATAACATCAAAAAAAAAATTTTTTTTAAATAAAATCATAATTCTATTAATATTTATTTTATAAAAAAAATTTTCATAAATATAATTTTTTAAAAATAACAAAAATTCCCATTATTTATGACCAGCACTGTATATTCGCCTTTTTACCAGTACAATAAAGTCCGTCAGTGGCAAAGACGATGAAATACAAAGAAAACTTTATTTGATATACAGTATATAGTGCAGTTATCGACGTATACATGTGAATGCGAAAATATATCTGCTATTTTTTGGTAATTTTTTGGCCGTGCCAGTACATTCGTGTTAATAATTCTGAATATACGCAGATTAACGATCCGATTTTCTATAGGTTTCGCCAGTACTTAAATTGTAATAATAAGCTTTATCATCATCATTGGCAAAACAACATCAGAAAATGTTATAAACTATCATAATCTTCCCCTTCCTTATCATCAGAGGATTTCGAGTTAGGATCTAAAGAATCATCGGGTGTACTTACCTCAGGTAAATATTCTTTTTCTCGTTTACTATATCTTCTGAATTAGCAGGAATAGTTGGAATGCTTGTTTCCGGGGGAAGTTTCAATAGTTGATACGTCGTTTGCATTAGATACCTCAATCATATGTGCGTTTTTTTTCGGAACGCCGATAACTTTCACAAAAAAAAATCTTAAGTAAACAAAGTAAATGCCAATTTGATAGTTTATTAATACATTATATCTCTAAAATCATGAGTAAATTCCTATTTACTAAATTGAATTTTCTTTAATCTAGTGTACTAAAAAATGGAAAGTCAAACAGTAAAAAGCCAGGCTAGGGGACCACCGTGAGACCGGCACAGGCTCGCGATCTATTCCGAACACAGGTCCTTATCTAGAGGGTTTTTACATAGAAAGAAAAAAAAATTAAGAAACTACATAAAAAGCCAGGCTAGGGGACCGCCGTGAGACCGGCACATAAGCTCGCGATCTATTCCGAACACAGATCCTTGTCTAGCGGGTTTTTACATAGAAAGAAAAATAAATTAAGAAACTACATAAAAAGCCAAGCTAGGGGACCGCCGTGAGACCGGCACATAGGCTCGCGATCTATTCCGAACACAGATCCTTGTCTAGCTGGTTTTTATATAGCGATAAAAAAAAAGTATACTATAATTTTATACAATAGCTAGCTTCTTTTTTCTTTTGTGGTTTTTGTAGAGAAATTGAGTTTAATGTTAACCATTCCGCTAAACGCACGATATTCTTTTTTTGAACAGATTTCGTATATGCATAATAAAAATCATCATTACACCTAAAAATTCTCTGGAATAACATAATTAGAAAAGACTAATTGAAATCTAGGTGTGAATAATGATGATACATACTTCTATTAGTAACATCATTTTACAAACGTCCGCTAATTTCGTCCAGTCATCTTCAAATTTCCAGGGTATTTCTAACTTGTAAATTCTTTCAGCAAGAAATTTGTCTTTGCCGGCAAAACATATCCTCCAGAGTTCACCTTGATTTTCTAGTTTATTGTTAGAAAGTAAGTCAACTATTTCAAAGGAAAAAAAAGGCAATGCAATTTTAAAAATTTAACTGCGCACGATATAAACTAATTCACTATATTTCCTGGAGATTTCCGCATCTCCTTGCTTATTTGTCCAAAATCTTTTACACAGAGTATCGACTGCATTACGAAATGACTTATTTAAATCTCTGAAATTTTCAAGATATGGTTTATTAGAAAGTGATTTAGACATTTCTGAAAATAAAATTTCTTAACGTACTTATAATACTTTGGACGGTTCTCCTTTTTAGGGGAGCAAACATTTTCGAACACTAATCTTTCTATTGTACTACTTTTTATGAAAAGTATACCGTCGCATTTTCTACCGGTCTTCTTATTGGACTTACACACGTTCCTCCTTCGCCATTTTGACGATGGATGAATCATTTCGCACCATGAGCTATTAAATAAGCCAGGATCTTTGTTTTTCAAAATTTCGAAATCTGGTGCAATCCATGTTGCTGTATACGTTGACTCGCTCATTGTTTCGTTGAATTCTGATTTCCACTTATAAGCCCTAAAAATTTAGGATAATATTAAGTAATCACATTAAGGATTAATCAAAGATTAGCTGACAATATTACCATGTATCTAAAATTCTTTTCACGAACGAAGCATCGTTTGGATCTAGGTCGATTTTTTTCTCTTTGATAGACTTAATAGTACTTTCTACATTACGCTAGCGATAAAAGATTGTGAAAAAAAAACGAACATTATTATAATTGTATAATTGCAGTGATACTACTGTTAATACATGTACCTCAAATACATCTAATACATAGTTGCCTATTGCATCCTTTTCTTTATCAGTTATGTTAGGAACTCGATTTTCAAGTACCCATTTCTTCAGTTCACTATGTTGATCTACTGCCTCATGATCGGAAATATTGATAATTTCAGTTGTGCAATAACTAAAATGGGATTCAGTATAAAATTCGAGAAAAAGTATAACTTAGAATAAGGGAATAAACCTCTCGTCAAATTCATCATCAGTTGTATCATAATCACTTTCGCTTTCACTTTCTACTTCTATGTCATTCCTTATGAGAAAAATAGAGAATAAAGACATAATAATCTCACTGCATAAATTTATTACTTACAGCCATGGGTAAAACCTCTTATCAGATTCATTGTCGATTTCATTATAGCCGTTATCATTTTCACTTTCATCTACATCATAATCATCTACTAGGCTTGACAAGATGGATAGTCAATAACGACAGATAATCATATTGATTTATATTATTTCTGACCTTTTGACATTATCGTAATCCGAATATTTTTCCAGAGGACTGGTTTCACGACGTCTTCTCTTGTTTTGATAGTCAAGGTCATCAACCCACCTTTGCCCAATTTTGGTATCAAATTCCACAACTCTCTTTTCTGCATTGACTCTATGCTGAAGTTGATAAAGATTCTCTTCCTATAATAAAGAAAAGAGTAAAACTATCGCGGACAATATAAACTAAATAGTATTAAATCTAATATATTATATACAGTATGTCTCATATTTATTTGTAAAAAAATTGTCAGCGATCTGTACATATACAACTAACCAAAGTTAGA